AACATGTATATAAGCCACCTGATCCCAGCCTAACCTTCAAAAGCCTCTTCAACTTGTAATGTTACTGTACTATAGGACCTAAACATCACAAATAACATTTTCTCTGTAAAAAAAATTTTTTTATAGCAAACACCCCGAAATAGATTAAAGAGGCCCATTGTGGGTACTTTTATTTGTGGCACTGTATAGTATATATAATAAAGTGAACACCTGCATAATATTGATAATCACAGTCTTAACATTAAGGCTATTTTCTTCCTTCTTTAAAACCCCAATAAAGGATCCACTCCATTAAAAATAAACTATTATTGTATCGATGTTAAAATAAAAAAAAACTACTCATTAAATTTCACCTATTTTTATTAAAAGGAATCTGAATTCAACATGGCTTTTGAAACTTCTTTATTTCAAATACACATGAACGGCTGTGGCACAGAGAAACAGTGATGAAAGGCACAGTCAACAGGACTAGTTATCAGGTTTTCAATTATAGCAGCAAATCTGAAAATAAATAATCCTCCTTTAAAAATCCAACAGGTACCTAAAGTATTGCTACAGATATTAACTATTCAACTAATGAAGACATTTTTAAAGAAAATATGTACATTTAAGAAAAACACTCTGGTACAACCTGGCAGAGATTCCTCAGCTTCTACACGAGATGCTTCCAGAAACATCCTTAAATGCAAAGACAACCTTTCCAAAGTGATCTGAATGAGACACACTGTAGTTTTTCATTCCGTGAATGAAACAATTGTTACACTTAGCTGATTTCTAAATCTTTCGTAGAAAATACTACTGTCTACACCAAAATGAAAAGTATCAAATCTGCTGGCAGTGCATCTTACAGTACTGTCGATATCAGCCATTTTTAAGGCTCAGAGAATATGCCTTCAAAAGGTATTTTCACCAAATTTGAGCAAACACTGAGCATTTCAAATAAAGAATGGAATGCCAATCAAGCTAAAGTACCAAACCTTTGATTCCAGGACATTTTGCTAATTACTAATACAGTGAAACAGCCAGAAGCAAGTGATACATAAAACAGCCTCCCTAATGTTGAGTATTAAAATATTCCCCACAACCAACAAGCCTTTAGAATTTAGCACCACTATATTTTACATTTTTACTACAATGTTAACAGTGGGAACAATAGTGCTTCCCTTCAACACTCAGTTTACTTTCTTCTGAATTCTCAGCTCACGTGCACGGTGGAGTGCCAGCTCACTCCTTCCTCTCTGTTCCTTTGAAAACCACCTACTTAGTGCCTGAACTGGTGAAGTGAGTGTTTCAGGTAAAAAAAGAATTAACATATAGGTATCGATGATATGGCGATGTATAACAAAATCCTCTGGTTTCTTTTTAAATACTGTCTTTTTAGTATTGTATGTTCACATGCATTAAAGAAAGTAAGCATACTAGTTAGCATATATCTAAGATTAATAATAAAATTTCACAACAATCAAACTAAATTTTACACACTGTAAATATTGCTACATAGCTTGGAAATGTTTGTCTATAAAGGGATTGGATTGGATATCTAAGTTCCCTTACAACACTAAGATATGATTATGACTCAAATTTCCCATATTTTTAGTCTGTAGCCTTATTTTCCTTCTTTTAGCTCTACTTGGTCTTAACATCAAGGCCATGGCAGTATATAAAAATAAGCACAAAAATTAATGGATAAACCAAAATAAAAATTAACAAGTAATGGCTTGGATGCAGAGCAGTATTTTGGGAAAACACTCTTAAAGTAACAAAAATTTAGTGGCCCACATAGGATCTGATCTGTGCTAGATGATAAACTAAGTTTTGGTCTAGAAGAAAATGAAGTCTGTCAATACAGAGTAGATTATCTGATGTCTACATAAAGGCATAAGTTTTGTTTTCTTAATGTTGCATCTAAAATACCACTGTTTACCATTCTTTAATATATTATACTTCTGACAGGCTCAGAGCAGTCTAGATTGGTATAACACCTCTTCCAGGAAAAAAAAAAAAAAGATTCCTTATACATTGTTTTGATCCTGTTCCTACAATTTCATTCTAGCAGTTCCTTTACAAAGCACTACTAAGATGCTCCAACTTTGCCAACAAACTTCCAGTGAAGACTATTTAAGATCTCTGGCAGAGTACACCCCAGATGAGGCTCAGATATATGATTTGCTAGTAAAGACTTTATTTGTGCATTTACCAAGAAACATCCAACATACTATAAGGAATCAAGTGTGAAGACTTCCTCTATCTCTTTTAAATACAGCATTCATTTTCTATCACTGCATAACAACTTGAGCAGCTTAAAACACAAGTCAATTTATTTACTAGTTCCGTAGGTCAGAAGTCCAAGCAGGCTTAACTGTGTTCTCTGCTTAGGCTCTCACAAAGCTGGAATCGAGGTGTTGGTCAGGCTGGGTCTTATCTGGAGATGCATTTCCAAGCCCATGAATGAGCTTGTGGGCTGAATTCAGTTCCTGTGGCTGTAGGACTGCAGCTCCCATTTTGCCTTTCTCAGCTCCTACTTAAGGCCACTTGCATTCCTTCTCATGTGGCCCCTTCTACCCTAAAACAGCAAGGGTGCCTTGAGTCCTTCTGCTTTGAGTCTCTGACTTCTGCTGCCAGCCTGAGAAAACTCTCTGCTTTTAATGGGCTCACAAGAGTTGATTAGCCACCCTCAGATAATCTTCCTTTTGCTATATAACATGATATAATCATGGATTATACAGGTTCCACCCACGCTCAAAGGGGAGGATATTATACAAGGTCATTGGTGGGGGTGGTACAGGGTGGGGGGTCATTCTTAGAATTCTGCCTACCACAAATACACTGCTATTCATTAGAACAATCTCTGCAAACATGCTGTTTCCACATAACCAAACTTTTGAGGGATAGAATTGTTGGCAGATGATTTCTTTCATTATAATAATAGATTTAAATAGATTTAAAAGAAGCTTTCATAACTTTGCTTATGATTTTTAAAATAACCATAACTTTTAATTATTTACTAGTACAACCATTAATTTGAAAAAGCTATATCTTGTTCAGAGACATCTCCAATGGTTAAATTAATATACACATACATGTCTATAGCCCATATGCTAAATAATCCGTTTGCATTAACTTTTCCCAAAGCTTTTCAATCACACTATCTTTTTTGACTACATAGTACGGTAGGATGCATGCTGTGGAAAAATGCATAAGACTGTAATAAAGAACTTAGAAATCACAGAATCCTAGAAATAGGTCCTCAATTTTCTCTTCTCTCCCACATGCCCATCATAATTTGCATTATGATATATTCGCATCTGTTTTTAACCTCATGAGAAGTCATTAATTCTGGTTTCTAAATGTTCACATTAGCACTCTTGACACAGTACTGTCCAACAGAACTTGCTGCAATGATGAAAATGTTCTGTACCTGTGGTGTCCAGTGTGGTAGCCACTAGCCACACATAGCCATTGAGCACTTGAACTGCAGCCAGTGTGACTGCAGAGCTGAATTTTTTATTAATTTAAATAGCCCCGTGTGGCTAGTGGCTACTATACAGGCCAGCACAACTCAAGAGCCTAATGGTTTATGTGAAATACACAACGGATACCAAACCAAACCATGCCCCATTTTAATTTATATGTGTGTGTGTGCACGTGTGTGTATGTAAAACTAGTCCCAACATTTGACACTGTGGTAAAGTGGTTCAGTGTCCTCTCAAGGTCAAGAATTTACCTTCTTTCAGTCGCAGGCACTCCGCACCTCCTCCAATCTTCTGCCCTAACACTGCTCCCAGAACGGTTTCTTGCTTGGGGAAAGCGTGGCTTCTCCTCCTTGTCTAGTGTAGAACTGGGCAAAAAGGAGGGAGCAGCTAACAATGACATCCCATGAGGACCTGCTGCAGCAGGCGGCAGTGAGAAGTATGAACCGTGGGTGTGCCCCAGGAGGTTGAAATTTGATCAGAAAGATAACACACCCCACACACAAATGCACCCCACAAACAAGCAAAAACTAGACGGCTAAGTGGGTAGGGAAACGTGTGGCAAGGACAACAGAGAAAGGGAGTAAGAAAGCCAAAGAGGAGGGTGGGCTGGAACAGCTGGTCCCTTCATCAAGACACTGGCCACCTGCCATGCGCCAGGCACATCCTAGGCACTGATAAATTCAAGGGCAAGAGGGCACGAGAAAGTCCCGGCATGATGGGAAAGATCTGGCTAAAAGGATTCTTAGGAACAGGAGGGATGAGAAAAGCCTGGGCGAGGAGACCACGTGAAACCAGGAAAAAGCTGGCTGGACAGTCGGAGCATCTTTACAGAGGCCATAACAAATGGCATCAGGAGCTGCTGTAACTTTCTCCTCTCTAGATTTTCAGAGCATGGCCTTTCTTCCTGACACCAGAGTTGGCAACTAAAGAACAAGGGACCTAAGGGGACTCCTAAACCCATTCGTACAGATTTTTACCCTCTGTTACTCAGTCATTTTAGCAGTAACTTAGTATGCTAAGCCAGTTCCTAAGTTTTATAATGAAAAGGGTATACCTCTTCTTGAATGAAATTTGCTTGCGGGCACTTGGCCAAAGAACTTTGAGAAGAAAATAGAAAGTAAATTCAAGAAAATGAAAATTAAATCCAAAAAACCCTAATAAAAAACTTCAACTGGACTTTGACACAAAAATCATTATTGGCAACATGATTGACTTTTCAATCAAGTAACTGAAAATTATTACAATATGGAGTGATGGAAATAATTGTACTATATCAGTGTTTCCCAACCTTTTTCACTTCATGACACTGCACAGAAAATACTGCTGTTTGATGCTACTTGTCCAGCACGTTGGCCAAGCAGATGAAGCTCCTCCAGGCTACAGGCAACCAGCTAGGACCTCCTCTCCACCTGAGGCCAGTGGCCACTCTGAAAGCTCAGGGGAACCAAGCTCTGCACATCTGTAACCCCCACACAACCCACCTGAGGCACACCAGCGTGTCGGAGTAGACTGGCTGGGAACTGAAGTTGATAATTCACCATTTTTTTTAAAGTAAAGTACTTTTATAAAGATCACTGATTGCTGAGGCTGATCACATTCTTTGTTTATAGAAGTAATATTATTTGGAATTGCATGTTTAAGAATAATAAATACTCTTTTAGACATGGGATTTACTTATAAGTTCATAATGCAATAGAATAAATCATTTCAGAAAAATACATGACTGCTACAATACCTTTCGCCCAAAACAGTATTACAATTTTTCTTTAAAATTATACCAATGATGACTTACACAATAGCATCACCTAGAAAACATTTTATCAGAACTCATAAAATGAGTGCAGATATAAAAGAATCAACAAGAGATAATGCATCTAAATCATGGGTTAAAGACAAGGATTAAAAAGGAAAGAAGAGTTTGTCATTTTACACTTGAGAGGAAATGTAATGACTTAAGTCTACAATAATTCAAGTTGAATGCATCACACTTGCACACAAATTTATCAGACTGATTTTTCGTGGCTATACACCATACACACAGTATAGTAAAATAACCCCCAAGAAGGACATTGGTCTTTAAAATCTTGGCTTTAAGGAATGATAAATGTCTTTGAAAATATTTTGTTCAGAATCACTGTGATTATAAAAGTACTTCAGTTAAGAAATCCATCTATAATCAATCTTAAATGGCAGTGCATTTGAAAAATGGCATTGATTTGTAATGTCTGCATTTCCAAAGAAAAAGATAGAAAGAACTTAAAAAAGCAAGGTAATTGGTTTTCAAAAAAAGTATCAATTCAAAAATTTACTGCACAAAAATATGTACTTCTTAAATGTTTCTAATAAATTAACTCCATAACATTTTTATGTATATTTATATATTTATATATATAATCCCTGATAATCTATAAAAGAGGGTCTATAATAGTAAAATAAGTGAACCTCAAAAGCACCCCCTTCATAAAATGTATTTAACAGTAGTTCTTCTCAAATTTAAGGAATGTAACAATATGTACAACTCTTATGTATTAGTATAATACCAAAATAGTACAAGTCGTATTAACAGGCTGTCATAATTGTAAAATGTTTGAGTCAAGTTAAAATCGGAGGACGGCTTAGTTTCAAATGAATACAATTATCATGGGAGATTCACTTTCCAAGTGGAAATGACAATCATCTTATCTACAGTAGATTTCACAAGAGGTAGTGTTCAAGTAAAAAAAAAAAAAAGTACATGCTTAACTATCTTTAATCAACAAATTCACAGGAAAAAATATGTTGGTTTCTTAGATGATCAGTTGGTGGCTTTTTTAATATGAATCTGAAATACAAAACAATTAAAAGTATGATAAGCTAATTAATTCTCAATTCCAGAAAGGCCTTAAATACAAAATCAAAATGTAATTTAAAAAAAGTAGTATCTAGGATGTTTCACTGATTTAATAGATTCTTACCTCATTAAGAATGGCCCAAACAGCAGAATTCTGAATAACTGAAAGTCGAAAGGTTGAAATAGGATTTAGACTAGGATCCACCATTCCTTCTGCAACACCATTCTCGAATTTTCCTTCAAAATAAAAATTAATAACTTGTTGGATAGACCGAGATGAGCACACATAAAACATCACTGACTTAAGGCAGGAAAGGAGGACACCCAAATATTTCTATTAATAGTAGATGTCTTTAGGCAGGGCACAGGTGATTTTTTTTCCCTTTCTTTCTACTTTTATTCAATTTTTAAATTTTTCATGAAGTAATGCATGCTTAAAAAGACAGGATGCAACCTATTTAATTAGGCAGAGCAAACAAAACAAATTTGTTCTTGCATCAACAAGGTTTTACCCTACAGGTTTTTAGCAAATTGTGACTTACCCAAACCTTACCAAAACATAATATGTACCATCAGTCTGACTTCTCTGAAAGTTAAATCAATCAAAACAAATTGTAATGTTTTGATTAGACATACATTCAGGCTGCTAGCCTTGAGCAGGGGCTCAAAGTGTACTCTTTCCAAGGGCACATTTAGAAGAAATTGAGAAGTAAACCCTCCTCTACAGTTTCCATATAAAGCTGCATTAAAAATGACAAGCTAAAAAAAGCTCTCCTATAAAAATAAGGACCAAGAACTTCTATAAAAGGTAACATACTCTGTACCAAATTTTTCTTGCTGTAAGGAAAATCCTTCTTAAAACTAAAAAATGCTGTTAGAAAAGTGACAAGAAAATAGTTCATTCTGAGCCAGATTTCTCTAAGCCAGGGGTTTGGCAAACTTTTCTTTATAAAGGGCAGTCTTTGTGGGCCAAGAGGAAACTCAAGTATACTAGGTAAGTACTTTATAGAAACGGAGAAAAAAAAAAATTTCCACAAATTTTTTAACAATGAAATTCAATATATTAATATAACAACAACTGAGTGCAATTTTTTTTGGTAATATAGGTATACTAAGGAGAAGAATATAATTCCTTTTGGGGGCATAGCATTTCATTGAATTGGGGTTCAAAGTTGGTGCTCCCTATCATCAAAATGACCAAATGTTCGCCCGCTAATGCTGATCTATAATCTTTTACACATTATCTTTGAAATGTCCTTTCACACAGCCTAGGTAGGGTGAAATACTGATATTGAGCTACAAACACATAATTTTAATGGAGCATATTCATCAGTTGGAAGGTATTTTTGGAATTCTACCAGATTTTTCTCTTTGATATTGGCCTTCTGGTGTATCATTACATTGCAGATGAGTCCATTCTAATAGAAGATCAGGTGAAAGCTCCTCAATTGCACATTAAATAGATTTTGAAATATGGAAATTACTTTTTCACTTACACTGAGGTCCAAAAATGCTGCTGGAACTATAGTTTGGAATTGAAAATGCATCCACTGTAAATCTGTGTGGAGATCATGCTTCCTATTTTAATTTTTGACAACATGGGAAGTGTATAAAGAGCTTGGTATCATTTATAGTTCGAACAATATTAGTCGTCATTAAAGTGACTTGACTGCAATGTGAGTTTTGCATACGAGCACCATTTTGTCCTGTAATTTTAGGTTGAATTCATTAAGAAACATCATCAACCCTGAAGCAAAAACTAATTTTCAAAGTGGTAGTTGTTAAGACAGTTCTTCTCATTTGGAAAAATTTCAATCTCGGTCCTAAACTCACAAAAACTTCAAGGAAACTTTACCACTGCTAAGCCACTGAACTGCTGTGTGGTGGGGCAAGTCAGGATATTCAGTTCCCATTTTTGACAAAAATTCCCAGAACTGATAATACCTAAGTCCATGAGAGTGAATAAAGTTCACAGTTGGCACTTCGGTTCAAAGATACATGATGGATTCAAATATTTTCTGTAAAGTACACCTGGCTGATATATAATAAAATAAATAACAATATACTTTAAATTCCTTAAATTTCCACGAGCTCTATAAGTTAATATAACTAAGCCTTCTTCTCCTCCACACATATTTTAAACATATTTGTTGTAACACAGCAGATTCTACTTCAGGTTGAACTTGTGTTTTCTCAACCTATGTGACAATATTCTCGCCTGTAGTTGTTCCAAACAGACTATTCATGGGCACCAACTCTTTAGTCACTTCTTGACATTGATTCCAAGTAACAACTGAGTAGTATCAGAGACGTGTCAACTTATCAAGAAGAAAACCACTCAAAATAATTTGCTTTCCTTTTTGACCGGTGATACTCCTTCCAATGTCCTCAACTCTTCAAGCAATTGCTGTTTCTGAAAACCTCACAGTCCTAAATAAGTTTATTTTCTCTGCACATATTTCTTTAGCTGCTGCAGTTAAATATTTAATTAACTCACTACTGCTAAGCGGGTTTTCTTGCTCGGCTAAACGATTAAGCCACTTGGAAACTAACTTTAGTAACAGTTTCATTTCTATTTTTTATTTTTGTGAGGAAATTCTGCTGTAATGAGATATTCCATTTTAAATTTCCTAGTTTCTCTAATCATTGCTTTCCTGTAACTTGGGAACACTGTTGTAAGTGCTTAGTCTGGTAATGTACAGCTTTCATGTAACTGCACAACAACCACAATGACTTGCCACCTAATTTTGTAAATTAATTCACATTCCATTTTATTAAAAAGCACAGTGTTCAAAGTCTACTTTTCTTGTTTTGACATGATAGGTTGCACCAATAATTGTTACAAAGCCACAGTATGGTGACTCAAAACACTCGAATTATAAACGCATCATTGTGATTTAGAGTACACCGGACAGTACAAAGCCATGAGAGCACGACCTCGATCTCTATTGTAACTACTCACTCATCTCTGCTACTGTAGCAAAAAAGCATACACAGACAATACATTAAAAAAGATAAACAGGGCTGTGTTTCAATAAAACTTTATTTATGGACATTGAAATTTAAATTTTATATAATTTTTATATATCATGATATATTCTTTTTATTTTTTTCAACCATTTAAAAAGAAAAAAAAAAATTTTTTAAAAAACCATTCTTAGTTCGTGGACCACTCAAAAACAGGTGTTGGGCCAGATTTGGCCCATGGGCTATAGTTTGCTGATTCTTGTGCTATGAAATTATGCAGTCTATTCTCAAGTCTCACAATACAGTTCATCGGCTAATAGTAAGATAAGGTACATTCAAATTAAAAACCACAGCAGAGAAGGCTTAAACTCATTTGGATAGTAAGTGCTGAACTTATCAGCAACCAAAGTCATGTTTTTATTCAAAAATTATTGATAAACTTATTTCATAAAGTTTTGTCCATACTTGGTGCTAGACTAAGGTGGAGGGGGGTATGTGCTACAAAAAACTATTATTGAATATCGAACTAGGCAGGGGATACAGAGCTGAAAACCACTGTGAAACCCTGAAACATTTTAACTAATGTAGTATCTAATACTGTCATCTGATAAGCTCATTTCATTAGGAAAATAATTATCAAATGGTATAACTAGCTTCATCAAAACACTTTCACTCAGCAATTTTGTCCAGCAGATATACTCTCACATGAGACTGCAAACCACACTAGGTGTCCATCACTAGGAGACTGGCTAAATAAATTATGATATGCCAATATAAGGGAATTCTAGGCAGCCAATTAAAAGAGTGAAGGAAAATAAAGAGAATGAAATAAAGTTGAAGATGATGCAGTTGAAAATTTACTTCTATACCTAAGTATATATTGCAGAGAAACTCCCACACACATGCAATAAATGTTCAAAGCAGCATTGTTTATAATAGCAAACAGGATGGAAACAGACTTTATGACCAAACAGGAGAACAGACAGGGACATATTCACCCATGGAATCTACATACGAGTGGAAATGAACGAGCCACAAATACAACACGGATCCACATGGACGAATCTCACAGTAGTGAAGAGAAAAAACAAGTTGCAGACTACAAAAAGATATTTCTATCAAATTTAAAAGCAAGCAAAAGAACACTGTGCATTGTTTAGGGATATAATGTATATACATAGTAACAACATAAACAGAAATGGTAACCACAACATTCAGGATAGTAGCCACCTTTGGGTTGAAGGGGAAAAGAAGCTACTAGGGAAGGACAGTTGAATTGACAAATCTTAAGCTGGATGGTGGAGACACAGATATTCCTTACACTATTATTTGTATCTTTTCATGCATCTGAAATATTTATAGTTTTTAAATGCTCATGTTCTATATGTACATATACATTTTGTTCAATGAAAAACAAGATGGAGAAGAGGACTGTAGAATACATCGTGTGTGTGTGTGTGTGTGTGTGTGTGTGTGTGTATTTGAAACACGGACTTGGGGGGGGAACCAAGGGCAACACACATAACCTAAACATCTGTACCCCATAATATGCTGAAATAAAAAAAAATAAAAAAAAAATAAAGACTATACTTATACCTTGCTATTTATGCACAGAATGCTTCTGGAAGGACACAAATCATTACAGGAATGACCTCTGGGAAACACAGGGTAGGGGGGGAGAGAAAAGGGAAAAAGGCTTAAATCTACCCTTTTAAATTTGTATTTGGTACCATGTGCATGTATTATCTTCTCACACAACAAATTTAACCCCTGTCCTTAACCTAATGGTCCAATCAGTCAGCATTCAAAGACAGGAAAGGAGAGAAAAAGTGGAGGAAATTACCAAAGAGTGACTAGAATCTCAGATCCCTGGCATTGGCAGCACCTTCCAAGGCCTGGCAGTCCCTGGACCTTCCGCCAAGCCTGACCAGTGGCCTTTCCCTCTTCCACTGGTTCTCTGCAGAAGGCTCTTTTGCTTTCTCATAACTTTAATCCACTGAAATCTTTCTTTTACTAAGACCATCCTTAGCTATCACAAGCCCCCCACCTCAACCACCAGGCCTCCACTAATTTCCAGCTGACGGTATTGTTTGGGACAATGCCTTCAGGCGTAAGTTGCTGCACAGTGTGATCCAATTAAATGTAGGCCCTTTTGCTGGGCCAGTCTTGGCTGTCCCACCCCAAGCTTTTATTAGCTATCTCCTTGCCTTATTCTCCCTGTAAAACTTCTAGCTGGGCTCCAGCTTAGCTTGTATGTAGCCACCATTCGCTAACTGCTTAACGTCAAAACCTTCATTGTACTCCACAGCACCCTTAGGCTTGACCTCTCCCGAGTTCCATTTCAAATAAATCAGTCAGTCACTTTAGGGAGGGCTACGGAACTTTCCGTTCGTACAGCCTGCCGCTCCCCCAGGCAAAATCTTGCACCACTGCTCAGGGTCTTTGGCAGGGACAGTGGCCCCTTCTCTCTTAGAATGACACCCTGCTTTTAGCAGCAGAGTGCTGGTTGTGGCAGTAGCCCTTGATTTTCTCAGCTTGCTCCTCCCAGCGTACTGGGGCAAGTGAGGTGGGGTGCGTGTGATCAGGGCCAAGTATTCTCACCCTGCTGCACCTGGGGAGAGCTTCTGCCCTATGAACGGAAGTTGGGTAGAAGAAGGAAACCTCAGATCTGTCAGCTGCTCTTCTCTGGAACAGAGATTCTGCAACAGAGTGGGGGTGATGACAAATTCTGGCAACTTGCCTTTCCTAGGGAGATACCATAGCCCTCGACTACAAGCTGACAGGAGCGAGAGTCCCATTGTGGCTGGGCCCCTTGAAATTTCAGTACTCCAGCTTTTTTTTTTTTTTTGAGACAGAGTCTCACTGTGTTGCCCCAGCCAGAATGCAGTGATGTCATCATCATCATAGCTCACTGCAACCTCAAACTCCTGGGCTCAAGCGATACTCTTGCCTCAGCCTCCTGAGTAGCTGGGACTACAGGTGCATGCCACAACACCCAGCTAATTTTTTGTAGAGACAGGGTTTTGCTCTTGCTCAGGCTGGTCTCAAACCCCTGACCTCAAGTGAACCTCCTGCCTTGGCCTCCCACAGTGCTAGGATGCCAGGCCCCCAGCATTTTTAATGACTAAAATAAGGCAAAATTGGACTAGGCCCTCAGTTGTTTGCACATGTTAACTGCTTGCTTCCTGCTCAACGCCCCTTGTTCTCGCAGCAATTATTAACTGCAGTTCCAGTGCTTCTTTGTCAAGCAGGAGGAGATTACTCCAGGATCAGGAGGAGAATCTATGAGTTTGTTTTGCCCAAGGAATGGATGCCCCTGAAAAAGCATCTGAGCTAAAAGCAACACAGACTTCCCCCCAATTTATCCCCACCCTACACAAAAGCTCACTGCCTCATCTGTAACAGGACAGATCTGAGACATTTTCTCTCCTGTCTTCTTGCTTTGGCCAAATCAAACAAACCTTTCTCATCTCCAAGCACTGGTGTCACAGTGTGGCTTTAGCTGTGCATCGGGTACGTGAGTCTGAATTTGGGCTCTACAACACTGTGTTCTTGGCTGTACCGGCGCAGAGCAGAGCTTCCATCCCACTGAGCTTGGGGATTGTGGGGTAACAGAGCTGGTCACAGCACAAATGCCACAGACTCCTAAGGTTCTTTCTGAGATTTGGTAGATTTTCATGAATAATCGTTTCTCCATTTGCTGTATGCCCTTAGGACAATCTTCAGAAATTTTAAACAGATTTTTAAAAAATAATTTTCAATAGTTACAGTTGTTTTGCTAAAGAGAGGCTCAAACAGGCCCCTCACACCACCATTCCACCAAAATATGCTTCTTAAGGGAGCAGGACTTACGTATCCAGTTGAAAAAAAATCAGTTACTCTTTATTTCTGATGGATATTTTGGTTACAAGGTCCTAGGTTTAATGATCCATAATGATCCATAAGTTCTCTTCCGGTTCTAAGCAGATATGAGTCGATGCTCATTTTATTGCTCATTTTATTCAGATTACTGCAAATACATTTAATATAGACACCTCTGTTTCCTATGCTCCTTACATAATCTAGAACACAACATTCTCAGAAATTAGATAACTGACAGGTAATAGGGGTAATAAATGTCTTGGACACTCAGCTAATTTTATGTTCATTTCTAGAGATGGGCTAAGATACAGCCCCAATATGAAAATAACTAAACTCATTTATCCACCAGAACTACATAGAAAGTAGTCAGGATTATTGTGCTAGCCTTTTAGCAGCAGCTGAACGACACTCACCAAATGTAAAACTGCTCTAAAAGGAGCTATGAAAATGCATCTCTACCCTGTAAACCTACGATATTAATTTACCAACATTCTCTTTTGTCTCATTCTAAGAAAAGCGTTAGTTTGTTCTCAGTAAAAGAAAATGTATAATCATTCATTGAGTCGACACCTACCAACTGACAGGCCCGGGGGAGAGACAATGTCCCTCCCTTTCCAGGGTGAGCACACAGAATGCAGCTACGGAGCTCCACTGTCACACAGTAAAGGACGCCCAGGCCCGTGGGAGGCGCAGAGAGGACAGGGGCAGCTACGCCGGCTAATTAAGGGTGAGAAAGTACTCGCTAGGAGGAGAACTATCAACCCATCATTGCAGGCAGAGAAAATGCTAGAGAAACGGCTGCCCATAGAGGTTGGTGGGGCTTTAATTAGAGGAACAATAGTCCGAGGGCTGGAGAGAGAAAGAGCGAGGGGAAAGTTACAAGACGTGAAGGTGGGTGGGAGCTAAGGAATCAGACAGTAGAAAGTCACTAAGGTTTTTTACCCCGGTGGATAGAGTTACGGTTACATTTTGAAAAAGGAACTGCAGTAGCTCTGGAAAGCCAACAAGAGGACATGCAGTCCCTTCCCTGGCTCCGAAATGGAGGCAGAGGGCATACAGCGCCCTCACAGACAGGGCGACTCAAGACTTTCAGAGGCAAAACTGATAGGGTTTCTGCTAATGCGCAGTAAGGAGAAGGCGGTCAGTCCCAAGGTTAGGCTTCGGCAACTAGATAAATAGGGACAGCAAAAACCGCGGTGATCAATAAAGAAATGTCTGTTACAGACGCTCGTTGTAGGTAGCTATGTGGCCACCAGGCACAAGGCTATGTCAGTGGGCATCCAATACAAATGTGACGCTCAGGAGGAAGACGGGCCAGAAGCACAGACTCTGGCATGTGGGTGTCAGCTGAGGCCACGAGAGTAGCTAAGCTCGTCCAGGAAGAGACACACAGTAAGAGGCAGCTGAAGGCAGGGCCTCTATCGGTGACCATCAACACCGGCAGGACAGACGGAGAAAGAAAGAGGAGTAGTGAATGAATCTGTGATCTGAAATCCTAGTTCAGTCAAGATAATAAAAACAGGAACTAAAACACACGAGCAAATAAAATTTGGAATACATTGGTAACTGTAATCCTCAAGTCCCTTAACAGCAGAAAATAATTTAAAAGTACTATAGGAGTAAGTTCAGAAAAAGAAAGGACACTTTACCAAAGTAGGTATTACCTATTCTGAAATAGCCATCTTCTAATCGTTTGTCTTTGGTTTCCTTGCTTATTTCCAAACCTTCACTCTAAAATAAAACAAAAGCATTAATTTTACAAATAATTCCTTCTATCGAAAACAAATCTAAGTTGTGAATACATCTTAATACCTATGAAGTAGCATTAGTGGCACACCTATGTCTAAAAACAGAAATGTCATCTCAGTCTTGAACTTTAAAAAATTTAATAAAAGTTGTTTTTCTAACCATCATCTGAATCTCTATATATTGGTTCTTAGAAAATGAAACATTAACTCATTTAATAGAATACTATTTGCTATTAAAAATATATACAGCAGAACGATGTGTTGACTTGAAAGAAATCTAAGTATTCCTTAGAGACCAATAAATTAATTTTGTGTATTAATCAATAGGCATTACAACCACATGGTGTTTTAGGACTCAAAATACAAACAGGAAGCAAACACTTAAGTAAAATAATGATTCATTTCTTTTCCTGGTATAAAATTCATTTCATTTCTATTTTTCAACAGAAAATGCAATGAAGGCTTTTCTATGAATGAGGCAAATGGGTCGATATATCAGATGTTCCATATTTCCGAAAAATTAATATTACCCACCACTGAGTCCTGCACATCACAAGACTTTTCTTTCACCTCATAAATAAGAAGAGCCTCAAACCAAATCTATTAGTATCCGTTCTTAGGGAAACGTAAGAGGAAAAATAGTCATACCTTAAAAGGCAAAACCTCCACAGTTGTATTGAGCAGAATATCTCCCGGGTGTTCTTGGTTGCCACTATGGAACAAGTAACTGAAAATACAAACATGAAAATACTAGGCTTTACACAGACGCAAGAAGATGACCTTACCTCAAAGTAAGCCTTTCTAAACCAGACTCTAACTACACTAAGCTGACACTAGAACTTGTAGTAACGGCATAGTATGCACTCTGAACAGTTGTGGGGAATTTAAAAACTTAAAGGTAAAACCTAAGTGATATGTTAATTCCTTCTGTCAGAAATAGGACAATTGCTGCTTAATATAATAATATACTTGGCAGATTTTTTTAAAAAGGATGACAGTTTTATACTGTTTAAAATGCTTTAAACATTTAAACCTCTTGCCAGGAATAATCGAAATTGTAGTACCTACATAATACTGCTGTATCTTATATTGGAGAAAAATTTCTCTAGGACGAACACTAGTCATGGTAAGTTCAAAGACTGGTTTTATTCGATAGAAATAATTTCAGCATTAGTAGACTGAAAGTAAATTAACCTTTTTCAAATTATCTGAATAATTCCACTTGTCAATATTAAAAAAATGAGTAATGGTAAATTATAGTATAATATATTGTGATAAATCTAAAATACTCTCTGGGTATGTGTATAATGTTATATGTTTTGATACTTTGAAAATGAACTAGTATGTGTAGTGTGTAGGGGAAGGTGGAAAGTAGATAGGACACACAAAATATGTCTAAATCTAAAACTAATTTTAGTTAAGTTAAATAGTTAAAAGTTTAGGCTTAGGAGTCAGAAAGACCCGAGTTCAAATCCTAGTCTCTCACTCACTAGAATTTTCACATTTAACAAGCTACTTTAGCTCTCTGAGCAGGAGTTTATTCTATATAACGCAGATTCCCACCTACCTCACATGACTGTTCCAAAGAGCTTAAGAGAACTGATAAAAAGTCCCCTGCATATTAAAAGTACTCAGCCAAGTCATAGATATAGGATGGTTATGATATGGTTACAGCAGGGTACTTGTGAGCAAAAATCATCTGTGATAAGGATTTGATTCTCAAATGTTAAACAGCACAGGGAACCCTGATAAAAGGCTCTTTCTAGTACAACAAAAATTACTTCCAGCATTTGCAGATGAAAGATGCTTTTTTTGTTGTTGTTGTTGAGACAGGGTCTCGCTCTGTTGCCCAGAGCATCAATCATAGCTCACTGCAACTCTGAACTTGTGGGCTCAAACAATCCTCTTGCCTTAGCCTTCCCACTAGCTGGCACTACAGGCATGTGCTACCACATATGGCTACTGTTTAAATTTTTTTTAGAGATGGGGTCTTGCTATGTTGCCCAGGCTGGTCTAGAACTCCTGGCCTCAAGTGATACTCCTGCCTTGGCCTCCCAAAGTGCTAGAATTACAGGTGTGAGACACTGTGCCCAGCTGAAAGATGCTTTCTGAAAAGACACCCTTAACTGGGAATGCTGATTCACACAGCAGGGCACTCAATACCGCAGCTGAAGATGTGAAAGAATGGGAGGAGGGAAGCCACTATTAAGAGCCCGTGAATAGAATCCAGAGTTCAGGCAGGCTGATTCAGAGATGTTCACCACCTGATTATGTATAATGAAAAACTCAGTGCCACCTAAATCATTTAACATTAGGTGAAGAAAGTGCACAAAATTAGTCAAAAAAAAAAAAAAAAAAAGTGCCAATACGGTCACAATGGTAGCCTTGGGGTTGTGATTTTCTTCATGATTCTTCGCACTTTTAAGTTCTTGTACAACGAGCACAGCTTGTGTTATATAGTCAGAAAATCTTCATAACTTTTCATTTCTACAATGATAAATAAAACTTCCGCTTTTCCCCCCTCAGCAAATAAGTTATTGTGAAAATCAAAAAGTGATTCCTTTTCTCTGTCCTAGGAAGGGTGGGTGTTTTCATAAATTCTAAGAAAGTTCATATATAGTATGATTTTAGGAGAATTGTGTTTTACTAGAAATGTGCCCTTTGTTGGGGCATGTAATTATTACCTACAGAGGTTTGTTGTAAAGAAATTTGATCTCCAATATGTGAGTTCTGTAGCTGATTCTTTGATGGGTATTTTTTCATTTGTTAACTATATACATATATATATATATATATATATACACATATATATATATATATATATAATAAACATATATATTTTTCTTTTTCCCCATTACAAAAGTAAATCTCTTTTTGAGACTTCCACTTCTGGGAAGGTGAGGTGTACCTACTTTTCCCTATTCCTTCCCCTAAGTGCAACTAAAAACCCTGGACATTGTGTACCATATAAAACAAGCATAAGCAGACGCTGGGAGGTGGAGAGAAGACGATGCACTGACTAGGGCCTTGGTTTCCGAGGTACAACAGGACGGTGAGTTTCCTGGGTTTTCTCTGTAACTAGTACATCCCAGACTTGGAGCTGACAAACTCAGAAACCTGGAAATGCCAGTGGGAGCAGACAAAAAATGACCTCCCAAAAAGCCTGCCCTGTCCAGCCAAAGGATCGGGAAAAGAGCAGCCTAGTGAGACATAACGCTTTTAGCAACAGTCACTCTACTCTAGCCAAATGCCACAGAAAAAATGTGGCCCCAGCCCAACCACAGCCACAAAGGCTGAAGGGGAGCCTAAGGGGTAATAACGAGGCCCTCCCCAACGATGTCACTGGAAAACACACAGCAGTAAGGAGGACCCCCCTGCGCCGCCCTGCCAGGACGGCACTGGCACAGCTCTGGTGGGGGCCAGGACTCCATCCCTACTCAGCAGCAATGGAGGGCCTCTGCCCTCCTTGGGTGCCAACAAAGCCCATGAGGGGAACCAAACTTCTGCCACCCCCACCTGGAAGTAACGGGGCAGCACCACCCATTCTCCTGCCACAGCCGCGCTGGAGGAAGCTACAACAGGAGGTTTAGAGAAGATCCCGTCTCAGAACATTATACCCCAAACATGATGGTTTCAATCAAAACTCACTTGTCATACCAAAAAGGAGAAGAATTTCAGCTTGAATGAAAAAAAGACCATCAATAAAGACTAATCAAGATAACAGAGATGTTAGAATTATCTGGAAAAGATTTTAAAAGAAGCCATCATAAAAATGCTTCAACAGCACAAGTATCTTTCGAACAAATGAAAAATTAGAAAGTCCCAACAAAGAAACAGAAGCTATAAAAAAGGACCAAATGGAACTTGTAGACCTGAAAACACAATAACCAAAAATGAGGAACTCCATGGATGGGCTCCACAGGAGAATGAAGGCCACAGAGAGGAAAGGACAGAACAACAGAAATGACCCAATCTGAAGAATACAGAGAAAACAGACTTCTAAAAAAAGTGAGCAGAGCCCTAGGGATCTGTAGAACTATAACAAAAGATCTAACCTTAGTGCCCAACTGATTTCTGATGAAGGTGCAAAGGCAATTCAATGGAGAAAAGACAACCTTTTCAATAAATTATGCTATAGCAACTGTATACCAAAGACAAAAAAAAAATAAAGTGAACCCTGACATAAACCCCATCTCTTATAAAAAAATTAACTAGAATGGATCATGGACTTAAATATAAAATGTAAAACTATAAAAATTACAGAAAAAATATAGGAGGAAATCCTTGGGCCCTAGAGCTAGGCCAAGAGTTATTGGACTCGATATCAAAAGTAAGATCTATGAAAGGAAAAACTGATAAACTGGATTTCACGAAATTTAGAAACTTTTACTCTAAAGACACTATTAGAATGAAAGGACAAGCTACGGACTGGGAGAAAATATCTGCAAACCACATATCTGACAAAAAATTGGTATCTACAGCCGGGCGTAGTAGCTTACACCTGTAATCCTAGCACTTTAGGAGGTCGAGGCAGGAGGATTGCTTGAGCTCAGGAGTTTCAGACCAGCCTGGGCAATACAGCAAGACCCCTTCTCTACAAAAAAATAGAAAAAATCAGCCGGGCATAGTAGCATACGCCTGTAGTCCCAGCTACTCAGGAGGCTGAGGCAGAAGAATCACTTGAGCTCAGGAGTTTGAGGTTGCTGTGAGCTGTGACGATGCCACTGCACTCTAGCCAGGGTGACAGAATGAGAGACTATCTCAAAAAATAAAAAATAAAAAAAGCTACATGACGTGAGAATTCCTGGGGCGATGGAAATGTTCCTTATCTTGAATACTAGTGTCAACTCCTAGTTATGATATTTTACTATAGTCTGCAAGATGTTACCACTGAGGGGAACTGGGTAATAGGTACACAGGATCTCTCAGTTGTATTTCTTACAGCTGCATGTGCATCTATATTTTCTCAAAAAATCAAAGTTTAACTTAAAGAAAAAGTAAATTGATGCAAAAGGCATACAAAATAAATGTATCAAGTCAAAATGACTTGACTGTTACCCCACCTCAATTAACAGTTTGATATATTTCTTCCAGATCTTTTCTATGTATGTAATACATGTGAAATATTATTGCTTCAAAAAAATCCTTCCATAATCTATGATTCTATACTCTCTATATAGAATTCCATATATTCTAGAATTCTATACACATAGAAAGCTATAACATATAGAATGATCTACAAGGATATTCTATAACATTACAAATTTGCTTCCCCCCCCGCCCCGCTTAGTGTATATATGGAAAAGTCTTCACGTCAATACATATTGATCTATGCCATTATTTTTACCAGCTGCTCATAGCATTCCAATGCATGGAAACATCACCATTTACTTAACCAAATACCTACTAACAGATGACATCTTTGTTGTTCCTAATTCTACAATGACTCTCTAAGAGTGGTAAATAATATCTCAAAGTGCAGAGTATTAATAAAAGTATAAAAATGAACATTAAACAATATATGCTCATCCAAGTATAATGTAAATTATTATTCAAAACTATTTTTACATGTTTTCCCAGTGGTATTCTCATTGAATAACACACTTTTATCACATAAATTCCTCTTTGGAATCAGTTTAGAGTAACAAAAGAAAATTAGTAACATCACGTCACAGCTAAGCATGGTTTTTGACCCTCTTGAATGGAATTACTCCAAATGATTTTTGGTGGATTCTAAAAATCAAATTGGCCCTCCCATTAGAACATACAAAACAACATACCACAGGGTAGAGAATTATATTCTACTAAGTATGTCATGGGCAGTCTAGGGAACACGTCTAAAACCGAGGGAAGGTGGAAGGAATCATGACTGTTAAACTAAAAACAGGGAGAAGAAAGTCTTAAATTTTCTAAAACAAACAAAAATGCTAGAAAACATAAAAGGGTCGTAAATTCCTCCACGGTGTACTAAAAATGATCCAGCATTTGTACAGCCACTGACGAGGAATAGTCATACTCTGTCATGCTTATCATTTCAGCCAAACTGCACGGATGTTCAAGGATAAGGACATGAACACTAATTTGAGATTTTTTTAGAGAGATTTCTACACATAAAGTACTAAAAAAAAATACTAGATGTTAAGTCCAGAAATACCAATAGAATTTACAGAACATGTTAAAAGCTGATATCATATCTGAAAATGGCACATCCATTTTATTACTGAGTTGTATTACATGTAATTTATAACCCAACATTTTGGGTCCTGCTGTCCACTCATACCTGTTACGTAAAATCAATCATAAATCACACTATGAATAAGAGCTCTGAACTGTAAGACCAGATATATTCCATAATCACCAACCTTTCTACATTGACTGGCTTGTCAAATTTAAACAAGATGTAGTCTCCCGCTGTCGGGGTGATGGCCCAGAAGAAATCCTCCCCCATGTAAGTCTTCTCCAGTGTATGTCCTTGGTAGACCTTCAAGGAAGTGGATACCTCTGCAGGGGGGTTTACGTGGATTTTAAGAAGTAACGGTTTCATGTAATCTTTATCCTAGGAGGAAAGACGCATGTGCTATTAAATAACATACAGTTTATTTATATTCAAGAAGAAAAGCAATAATTATACACTAAATAACAAATTGTGTGTCTATGAGAAAATAAAATTAAATCACCAACCGTGAGTTTCTGAATTTTTCCTGATAGTGACGAATGCAGACCAACATGTTGGAAAAGGGAAGGTCTGAAGCGAATTCGCAGATTTGCTTTTTGTCTATCACAATGTTTCTAAACATCAAAAAAAAAAAAAATCATGTTAGTGTTACATGATAAAGTGAAATCTTGTCCTCATCTGGAAAATGAGAAACCCTTTAAAAGAATATTGAAAAGAAAACACAACTGCAAGTCATAATTCCAAGTCTTATGTTTTTTTATGGTCCTCTTTGAGGCATTAACAGATTTGCCACCTACTTGATAAACAGGCATGATCTGGAAATTAAATATAAGCACAGCTAGGGGAAGAGTGAAGGGTTTAGGGGAAGAGTAAAGGGTTTAATGTCAACTATCCTTCAAGACATGTCAATAATGATTTGACTTTAAATATTAAAATGCACAAACTATAGACTGGAGTTTGGTTCAGATATACAAAATATTTTTGATTGGGTAATATAATGAAGACTTTGCAAATACTAAAAGGGGCACTGTGTTGCATGAAAGCAAGTTGAAAATGTGAGGCAACAGCTTGGCTATAGGCAAGTTAATGACATTCAAAGTTCCACAGACAAATCCATCTCGGCACAGGTAAGGGAAACCTATGTGTCAACTCGCAGTGCCCCCTGGCCCAGAGGTCATGTCGCAGCCTGTCCTCGTGCCTGGTCAAGGTGTGTGGTGGCTGCAGAACAACAAGGGGCCCATAATGCCAGCAGGGCTCTGGGAGGTGTGTTAGTCCAGTGCTTCCAGAAAGCCATGGCTATCTTGACATGGTTTTTAAAACTCTTCATTTTCAATGACTTGCATACGTTTTGGGCCCTTGCCATCCTAGGGGAAGCACCGAAGAATTAGGGGCCACAGAAAAGCATGGGCTAAGGAAGGGTGAAGGAATAGATAACACTGTCCAAACTCAAATTAATGGATGACTTAGAGGGTTTCCATGGTTTTAATTTTTGCTACCAGTTTGGATCTTTTTAGAGCCTAACCACATATTAAATAAAACTGGAAAGGACGAATTAAATAAAGGAATATTGGAGGAGACTAAAGAGGACATTAACCTTTTTGTGTCCTACAATATAAATTCCTGTAACTCACAATGAAAATACAAGTACAGGCTTAGATCTTCAAAATGGCTTGTTCAAATCAATTTACGTTCGACCACTGTTATAAATTGACACTCTGCCATTTCTCTATCTTTCATGATTTTCACTAAGAATGTGTCGTTTGTTGTTTTATTTTTTAAACAGAATGCAAAGATAGCTTATAGATACTAGAAAGTAGTATCCTAAAAACTAACTGGGAGGTAGGATAATCAAACTATTCTAGGCAATATATGGTCATGAAGTCAAATTAAATGCTTATTTGTGACAATGACTAAGTGATCCTACAATGACATGTGTTTATAATAAATATTACTTACTAGGTGTCGAAATTGACATTCATTTTTAAGAATTTGTATATTCATGGTTTATGCGTACGCTAATTAAATAAAAAGTATTTTTTTCCAAAGGAACAATTCCAATTAGACAAGCAAAATGTATCAATTACTTTTTACAGTAAGATTTCTAAGGAAATAACTTACTATCTGAATGATCAAAGCAAAAATTACCACTCACTTACTTGCCTGCCACCCACCATCCCAAAGGTAAGCATATTACTGTGAACACTCCTTTCTTGCAAGCAACACACTGAAAGGTACTTTGACTTGTCATTGTTTCGATATAAAATATTACTTCTATTTTATTCCCTATTACCATACATGTTAGGGTCGCATATTGTCCACAAAATATTTGAAAAAAGAGAGCTGGCAGAGAATATGAAGAAACAAACTGAAAAGATAGCCCACACAGGAAAGACATGACCACTCTATAGCCAACAGTTAACAAAATACCAGAGCCTACAGACACTATGAACATTTATCAGCAATTCAGAGAAAGGCCATCGTCCCGCAACAGGCTTTCCTGCTTTACAGGATTTCCCACTGCTATCTAAACGTCCTTCTAATACAGGAACTTCTTATCAGCTCAAGGAAGAAGTTTTCTTTCCGCTACCTGTTTACTGTTCACTTCCAAAATCCGGCTCCCTAAAAATCACTTTCATGAAGTACAGAAAAGAAGCCTCCTCCACTCTCGTGAGGAATTAACTTACTGCATCTTTTTCAGGGTTGCAGACTTTCACCCAGAGAATATGATCCAAGAGCCAATCGATGGGTTTCTCCTTATAGAACATGAATATGAACTCTACAATCAGAGTGAGGTCGGGCGCTTGAAACATTTTACCTGAAAAGATATCTCCAGTCAATAGCTGTAATAAAGAAACCAAGTATCAAAATGGCTTAAATAAGTGAAATCTTGTATACTAAGTACACTGAAGTGTGCTCTCAACTATAAATCATTGTGAGCAATTGCCCCACTTGTATTATCAAAAACAAACTAACTCGCTTTTGCTAAACATTCTCTTGAGCTGTCACCTGCGTGTAAACAGAAGTAGTGAAATTCTGACATTGTTATATAATCTGTCATACAACTACTGTCTCAAAGCATTCAAAAAAGCAAGTCAGAGATTTTTCTTTCATGTCTTATTAAGATTCTTCCCATAACAAAAAAAGAACATTGAGAGGTTTAGGTAAAAAGTTTTATCTAAATCAATAAATACAAAAAAACAAGGACTATTAATTTTGTTTTCACTGAAGCCTTCACAAGTAAAGATGTCTTTTGACACTCAAGTTTTGAGTGAAATGATCAACAAGGTCAAAGAGTCAGCCTCTAATGCTGAAAGCTTTAAAGCACCCTAGGAAGTGAAATGTCATTCTCTGGGTGTTTTTTTAAAATCTGTAAACTTCCTTCAGTTCTCCAACTTTAACCATCTTCATTTTACTTGTCCAATTTAGGAACAGCAGCGACAAAAAAGGTTTTAAAATGAGTGCCCCCAACTAGTTAATAAAGAAATGAATAAAAATTAATCCCTGAACAAGAATTTCATGCACTCCATAAAAATACCAGGAATTCATGAGAAAATCCAATCTTGTGAGGACAAAGAAACTAGAAGTGTCAGAGACAAAATCCAACATGCTCACCAGGATCATGGTCGGCATCGTCCAGAACTCGAGAGTAAACACTACAATCTTAAAGCTTCTAAATTCTATATTGGGTTGACTTTCATCATTTCACACAGTTTACCTAAGTTAAATTTTCTCAAAAACAATCCATTTCCATTGAAAAATAAAGGACAACTTTAGGACCAAAAAAAGCAATTGGCTGAAGATTCTAAGAGTCATGGTTATTTTCAAAAAATGGATAAAGCTGACACTTTTCTTACCAATGAAGCCCAGCTGGGAAAACTCTAGAATCATCCATTCCTCAGAAGAAAGTTGAAGTGCAAAATTTTTTATAGTATTAAAATAATTCTGTTTGACAATGATGTCATCTTCAAGCTAGAGAAAATTGAATGATCATATTAATAAATCAAAAAGAGAAGGAAAGATGTAGACAGAAGGACATTATCATGGAAAAATTCAAGCACACTTTCACCATGAAAGTCAAGGAAACAATGGTCAAAAACAATGAAAGTATAAAAAAGCCAACAGCTTTCCTTCCCCCCACCCTCTACTCTGCTGGCTGAGGTGACCAATGTGAAAAGTTGGGTGTGCATCCATTTGACACCTTCTGTACATGCATACAGCAATACAGATCCATACATAAGGTCCCCATCCTCCTTTTCATTTTTATACAAAGGAATAATACTATGAAACTAGTATTCTTCTCTTAATATATCATGAGCATCTTTCCAGGTTAATAAATATCTATTTAAACCATTCAATTTAATGATGCTTACTATTCCCTGGTATAGATGTACTACAATTTGTTCAGCTCTTCCCTGCTCACAGGCAGGCATTCGGATTGTTTCCCAGTTTTTGTCGATGCAAACAATGCTACGATAAATAAGCTTGTACCTACATGTCAGTGCATTTCATTTCTGTAGGACAGATTCCTAAAAGTCCCCATTTTATATTTTAATAGACACCTACGAGATACTGAAGGGGGTGTGGCAATTCAGAGGGCCAGGTACTGGGCGCTGCCAGCACTGGGTGCTCTCTGTGCTTGGTGCCGACGTCACCAGTGCTACAGGCAGCTGGCAGATCTGGGATCCTGACACATGCAACAGCTGCCACCATGCAATCTCCCCCATTGAACTTCAAAGTCACAAGAATGTTTTAATATCCTAAAAAAACTTCTCCTTTTCTTAGTTTCGTCTTATTATTTCTCGTTACCTAAGCAGTTTTTATTTGTTTTAGCATTTGATTTTTCATGCATTTAAGTACCGTAGGCTTTCTTCTTCCTGTCTATGAAGAAACAGTAGCAGCATTTGGAAAAATACGATATCGACTGACTTGTCAACTGTATTATTTATACTACTGACTGACACACTTCTATCATGTTTCAGACATTATCTTAAACCCTGGCGATATATCAGTAAACAGAAAAAAATGTGTTTTATGCCCTCAGAGCTTTAAGGGAGGCTAGAGGGAAAATCAGACCACGCGCAGAGCTGTGGTGTCATTTACCCTTGCTTTCTGAACGAAAACATGCCTATGCTCAAACCTGAACATTCACTGAACATGCGCAAATGAAAGATGATCCCTGCTATCAGGCAATCCTAAATGCCTACTTAAAATTTAGTGCACTAATTTTGGTTACCAGATACATTTAAATTCACATTTGATAAATGAAATTAGAAAAACAGTTTTGTTCCATTCTTATATCTCACCAAATAATTTCACTTTTTAAAAAACTTTTTAAAATATAATAATTGTAGACTCACATGCAGTGAGATTGTGAATACCCTTCACCCAGTCTTCCCCAATATCACATCCTCCAATATAACCACGTACACTACCACGACCAGTAAGTTGGCTTTGACACAATTCACCCAACTTATTCAGATGTCACGGGTTTCACATGCACTCAATTGTGTGTACTCACTTCTATGCAATTTCATCACATGTGTACCTTGGCGACCGCCATGCAGGAAGCACGTGCAACAGCTCCCACGAGGATCCCTGGAGCTGCCCTTTCACACCCACAGCCACCTCCCCGCCTTTCCCGCCTTCCTAACCTCGGGCGACCAATAACCTGCTCTCCGTCTCTGCAGTTTTGTCATCTCAAGAATGCCACAGAAATGGAATCCTACAGTATGTAACCTTCTGAGATTCATTTTTTTATACTCAGCATAATTCCCTTGAGATCCAAGTTGTTGTGGGCATCCATAGTTTGTTTCTTTCAATTGTTTAGTGTGCCATGGTATAAATGTCCCGCGGCATGTTTAACCAGCCACCTGCTGAAGGACGTCTGGGTTGTTTCCAGTTTGGGGCCATGGCTAACAAAGCTGCTATGAAGGTTCATGTACAGGTTTTTAGTGAACATAAATACTCCTCTGACACCAGTATTTTGTCATGGCAAGAACCACTCTGAAAATTCTAACACACCTCTCATTAGTGATTGCTAATTTACAAAAGGAAGCTAAAAAGCAAGATGCAAAATATTGTTTTTACAATATGTAAACGTAGTTTCAGAAAGAGGTGTAGTACTACACACATATATATAAGTTTTTTAAAAGTACAAGGAAATACCAAAAATTAATGATGGGGGAGGGAGGAAACAGGGTGAAGGGGTGGAATAAAAATGAGACTTCTGTGAATGTATCTTGTTTCACATGAGTTTTGATTTGGAAGGTTATGCTTTATATAGCTAAAGAGGAAAAAAGGAAACCTAAAAACAGAATACAAACCAAAACAAATGAACCTAGTTTCATATCAAGTCAGTGGCATGGCCACACAAGATAAAGAATTACTTCAAGTAACTTCCAAACACAGTACACTGACTAGACAGCCCTATCAGGGTACATTCTGTGGGGAAAAAAAGCACAAAGAAAAATCTAAACTGCATTTAGTCGTCTTGTTGTTATAGTGATAATGGTAGTGATATTTTAAAACTATTTTAGGCATACTATCGAATGAAAGAATTATGCTATTAGGATAATCTCATTAAAAACTAAGACTTTCAGTTTAAGAGAAAACAGAAAAGAAATATATGTATAAATTCAAAAAGTTAAGTAAAAACCCTATGTGAACTAAAATAAAATTTTAAGGCTCACCCCCCCACACACTGGCTGACTAAATGGACCCCCTCGTGGCCAAAGGAATACCCTAAAACTAAATTGCCTGCAAGGAGGAAGGAGGTCAGACATGTCTTATCATGCCCCCCTCCCTTCTTGGTGACATCCTTTGTAACCCATTAACAGGCCTAAAGGTATGCAAGACAAACCTGCAGGTCCTCAATTTACACAACAAATCTATGTCCAGTGGCTTATCTTTGATAAAGAGCTCCTTATGTTGAAACATTCCAAGCCTCTAGACAAAGCTTCATGTCTTTAACCAACTACAGGCCAAAGAATCTTTTAACCCACCTATAACCTGTAAGCCCCTGCTTCGAGATGGCCCACCTTTTTGGGCCAAACCAATGTATGCCTCCCACGTATTGATTTATGACTTTACCTGTAACCTCTGCCTCCCTGAAATGTATAAAACCAAACTGTAACCCAACCTCAGTGAGTCCACTTGCTCAAGGCCTCTTGGGCGTGGCTCTGGGTCATGGTCCTCAAATTTGGCTCAGAGTAAATCTCTTTAAAATTACTTTACAGAGTTTGGTCTTTTTTTCCGTTGACACCTATGATCTTACTATAATCCTGTCATTTTATATCTTAATCCAATATGAATTGGAACTATTAATATCAATATAAATGTGTGATTTTTTTGCCTCTGAAAAATAAAATACAATTTTCCTTGCTGAAAGTCCTAGAAGCAAAGACAATACAATAGCAATGAGCATCTTAAGTGTCCAGACTGTTCCTACATACCATCGCCTCTGAGAGCAACAGGGCTCCTTAGAGAAATGATCTGGAATAGGAAACGTGCAAGATCTGAAAGCAAAGTGATCAAAGATGACTGGACAAAAGGATACAAGAGCCAATTTGAAGAGGTTCCTGCAGGATTATTATGTATCAATGTGAGCATCAATAAGAATAATGATTGCAATGGATTGAAGCAAATCAAATGTATTTTAAAAATCCATGAGTTCATAATGATACTTTTAAGATGACCACCCCTGGAGACCGCTAGGGCATCAACTTTAAACATTAATAAAGAGAAAGAGCAGAAACACTTCACAAGCACTGTGACCTCACTGAAGCCTGAAGGTGTATTTCAGGGATAGAGAAGTGAAACAATTAGTGTGGATCCTGAAGTCAGACAAATCTGTTTTCAAAACCAATCACTTATCTCAAAAAGTATGTGACCTTGAACAAGTTAGTTCATCTCTTTTAGTTTCTACATCTGCAGGATAAAGCTACTACTACTGAAAGCACAGGGTTGTTAAATAGATCAAGTGAAATAATGCTCATATAAAACACTTAAGACAATGCCTGGTATAGAAGAAATGCTCACTATATGGTAGCTGTGATTATTATATATAATAAAACATCTGAAAGTTTAAACAGTAAGAATTTGGTCACTGACATACAAATGACCATATTTGTTTTCAATGGTTTATTCTGCATGAACCCTCTTTCTTTTTTGGGAAGTCACGAGGACATGATCTATGATTGGAAATATACCATCCTGATGAAGTCTACCTTCTTAAGCTTACTGAATATGATTTTTAACTGTACCATATTATTGGCATCTAAGGTAATTTTACAAATCCATATGTATCACTTGCTTGGCATTCAAGAAAAGAAATAAAAAACTAGAAATTCAAAAAAAAAAAGAGACTGAGTTGGGCGCTGCCGCTGTGCCAACCACGACCCCGAAGCCCCAGCAGGGGTGAGGGGGAGGCAGTGCCACCCACCTCAGCCCACCCCCCAGCTGGCCTTTCGGGAAGCGAGGAAAGGGGGTCGTGAAGGCGCCACTCACCCCTAGGAAGGCGCTTCTTGGAGGAGGGGGCTTGGTCAGACCCGGCTGGGCTGCGTGGGAAGGAGTTGGGTCCAGGCAGGGGCGGGTGCCAGGGCTCCGGCTGACCAGGGGACACGGCGGAAAAGGAGGTGGAATGGTGGCTTCGGCCAAATCGGGCATCAGAGACACGAAGGATGGACACGGAGAAGGGAGAGAGAGACTGGCGGGGACGAAGACCCGAAGCAAGAGGGCTGGGCGGCCTTGGGCGGGAGGAAGGGCGGGAAGTGCACCAGGGCTGTCACTTCCGAGAGAGAGAGTGGGGACTGCGGCTTCCCCCGGGGGCGCGCTTTCTCCCGCTCCCTTTCTGTCAGCGATCACTTGCTCCGGGGGAAGCCAGCCGGCGTGTTCGCAGCCTCCCCGTCTGTGGAGAAACCCCCATGTTAGGAACCGAAGCCAGCAGCCACCGAGGGAGCTGGCCGTGGATC